TAAAATTCAATATTTTTCTCATTTTTCGTTATATAGGCCATGAGTTTCATACTCTAAATAAATTGCTGCTTCATAATTTCTTAACGATTCCCTAAGTATAGCCGACTGCCTTTGCGGTCGCCAACAGCGCATTTCGGATTCCGTCTGTGTTTGTAATTTCCTCATTATTAATTGCAACTTTTTAATTACAAGTATGTGCCTTTGCTTTGTTTCCCCGGTCTCGAAATGCCGATGACCAGCATTTAAGAATCGGCTATTGGCCTTTTAGTTAAATGTGCGAGCTGGTCGCGGCAATTATGATGTTGGATTCTTTGTTGGAGTGGGTTGTAATGTGTATGGATACTAGCTACGTACTTACAATATTTTTGGAACATATGTACAATAGTCTTTACGAAGAAAAAACTGCTATACCGAAGCTATAATACATATAATACAGAAGCTTCACAGGTTAATTTTTTATAGCATAAAAGGGGTATGAACATATCTTTATCTAGGTTTTGACCGATCAGTTTTAATGGCAGCTATGCATAATAATATACAATAATCTGTGCAAATTTCCGGGGAGGTATCTTGTCATATATCAGCTTTAATGGCAGCTATGCATAATAATATACAATAATCTGTGCAAATTTCCGGGGAGGTACCTTGTCATATAAAAAAGAATTTCCTTGTAGGGAATTGAGTATGATCGATCAGTTTGTATGGCAGCTTTATCCTATAGTGTTCCGAAGAGCAGCTTCTTGGAGAGAAAAGGACGTGTGCAAAATTTCCTATCGATATCTCAAAAACTGAGGGACTAGTTTAACTAACCAACTGGACAAAGCAAACAAGACAGGCGACAAAACAAAACTGAATTATAGAAAGGTCCTCAAGAAACGATCAGATTTAATGTTATTCCTCAACACACTTATATAATATACTTATGCGTATTAAGCTTAAATCCGATATTATTAAGTGAGCATTTACTAGATACACACTTCAATGCATTTTGCTATTGTTAATCGCTGTGAATTTTGCAATAGTAATGGCGTTTGGGCGGTTATCAGCAGTTTTCCATAAGTATGTCGCTTATCTATGGCGTGGGGAAATTGCGTTTTATATTTCAGAGCTTTGTATGTATGTATGTAACTAGATATGATTAACTTACCCAAAAAGAAATTTATATCATGAACAATGAGCATTGCTTTCTTTTATATTTGTATATATTATTTTTCCAAATTTTCTATATAATTGACTATAAAAAAAAGGAAGAATATTATATAATAGTATAATTGAACTTTTAATACTCTCGCACTTTGTAAGGATCGATGAGGGTAAATGCTTTCAGGTATTGACAAAACTTGATATTAAAAAAGTACGAAAGAGCTAAATTTGGGTGTAACCGACAACGACAATGGCAAAAGGACTAAATAATTAATTTTCTTCTTGTTGCTCTAGCTTCGGAATTGTTCAGTACCATTTTTTTAAATTTATTTTGAATTTTATGTGGTTTCATACCTTAAATACAGGATGGCTCATGAATCGAGGTACAAAATAAAACCGTAAGAACTTTTTTCTGGTGAGTAATCGACTTACTTTTTTTTTTAATTGGCAGGTTATTATTTAAATTTTTTTAAAATTATTGCTTGGGATACCGGACCAAGAGAGTTTGGATAATGCAGCGGTATCATGCTTTGCAGTCCGTCATTCCGTCCAAAGTGAATTCAGACGGGATTTTGGCGGCACTCCCCCGAGTAGATGGACCATTATGAGGTTGGTAAACATGTTTGCCGAATCTGGAAGAATCGCAAGTCGTACTATTGAGATCCGTATGTTCGTGTTCATCGTCAATTTAAGCAAATCGCAACATGTAGGCAGCAGACGGTCATTACAACGGATAATTCCAGAAATAATCTACGAGACGGAACTTCACCCAGTACGAGTCAATATGTGGTGCGCAGTTTCATCAAGGTGTGTTGTCGAGTCATACTTCTTTGAAGAGAACAGTGTAACAGTAACTGTCAATGAGCACCGTTATTTATAGATGTTGAATGAGTTTTTTTTACCCAGAACTGCGCCGAAGATGTATCCCTTTTAATAGCGTTTGGTTCTAACAAGATGGAGCAACTGCACACATAGCCAGATCGGTTATTGCGGAGCTCCAGCGAAAATTTGAAAACAAATTAATATCAAGAAAGTCCACTTTCCGCTGGCCCCCAAGGTCAACTGACCTGGCTGTACCAAACTTTTTTTATGGGGTTATAAAATTTGACTGAACTAAAGCAAATCTGACTGAATTAAAGCAGTCCATTAAATCGATAATTGAAGCAATCCCGACTTCACCGCTTCAGGCCGCAATGATTACTTTTCTAATTAGGTGTGGTATATGCTTGGCTGAGCATGGAGGTCATTTACGGCCCATAATTTGTAAAAATAATTAATTATATAAAATAAAATAAAATTAACTATGCAATAAAAAATAAGTAAAAGTAATGTAATGCATTGATTAAAAAAAAAGTCATTGCGGTTTGTATCGTGGGCACCCTGTATGTACATACGTAAAAGTTCATAGATTTAAAGTCAGTCGGAAGTGCGAAAATCTTTGTATTGGGTGTATGGAAGCTAATGTAAGTATTGCTCCGATAATACCCAAGGGCATAATATTATCTGGAAAGATTATCTTTCTCTGTATTTCAATAATACCATCAACGTTTATCGATATGTTCAGTAAAAACCCGGCTATAAGCACTGAAGTTGTTGTTGTTGCACTGAAGCCAATATATATGGTATCTGAGGACTTGAAAAGCTATGGTCCGGTTTGTACTATTTTTGACGTGAGATGGCACAGGTTCGAGTCACTATTTGTTTAAGGTTTTATTCTAAAAATTCATTGGTGCCTATTCTGTGAAAAGAAATATTGTCAAGCACTAGATATGGTTAAAAGTAATTAAGGAGTTCCTGAGATAAAGTTGCGTTGGCCACACCTATTGTCTAACTTTGATTCTGGCGGCTCCTATGAGAGTCTTCTGTAACAACCCTTGCACCAAATAACGGTTTTGTATCTTAGGAGTTTATTTATAGCATTTTATAGGTTTTCGCTTAACGGGCGAACATACACACACTTGGACAAGTCATTCTGATAATTTCGTCTGTTAGGTGAATTAAACTATTGCCACCTGATTTACAAACTGGAGATACAGGACAGTTTTCAATGATGAGTAACCTAAATATTATTACGGTTCCGAATATACTATATACAGAAACAAAATCTATAGCTGTCACAGTCAACCTTCACGATTTTCTTTTAGGTAATGAAAAATTAATGACATCTTTTAAGACTTAAATTTATTTCTATTTGCATTTTAAGCATGATGGTGTATTGGAAAGCCCTTATAACCTCTTCTACAACTAGATAACACAATTGGGTCAAGGTCAAAAAATGACCTTGTTCTTCATAAAGATTTCACTTATAGGGTAGATATGTATGTATGTATATATGTTAGAATAATAATACATGGCCTGAAATATAAAATGTCTTTATTTAAATGGTATTGCTTTTATTATACATATGTGTATGTCCAAGAGCACAAATAAATATCGACTACTTATATAAATGCAAGTAGCTGCTGTTTGAAAAAATGTGTGTGTTTGAACACATTTACAATAGTCATTTTCTTACCTGTCTTTCCAATTGTTTTTGAATCGTTAGCTAATGGGCTACCAATATATGCATTTCACCATCCAATTAGCGTTAATTTAATTACAATATGAGCGTAGGTAATTTAAAACAGTATGTATTTGTACACTCTATATATCCACTCCTCTAGCAACAATAATATTTGGCTTTCAATTGGATTGTTTGGTTTTTGCGTAAACTTTTTTTACTGAATGCACTTTGATATAGTATTTAAGTGTGTACATACATATGTATTGAAGCTATTGCTTCTGCTTAGAACTTCGATTTTTCAAACACCTAATAATTCGCTAGATTTTCAACTATTGATTTAGTATTCACTTCGATTGAAAGAATGAATGTCTCACTTGACAAAAATGTTTCATCTGTATTCCATATGTCGCAGTATACTTTGTTTTCAGATTTTTCGTCACAAATGTTTTCTTGCTTTGTTACAAGTCTCCTAGTTTCCCTATAAAAAGCTTATATTTTTTCAAACAGTGCACATTAAATTTGTTTTGCTATCAAATTCCCAAATCTGTCATGGACAATTTAGAACTGCGCTTTATTTTGCACAAATCCAAATTCCTAGATTTTGAACGCAATCAACCCACTTGCTTTTACCCACGAATCTATTCCTAGGTTTGTTTTTCCGTTTGCTGACTATGGTTTCCTCTTCTGTTTTCACAATATTTATGTTTCTTTCCCTTGTGATCTCTTTTGTACCTTTTCTAAAGATATGGAATTGACCCCTCAACATAATAAAAGTGTGGAATAAACAAATGATGATAAAGGGAGAAAACAAGATGATAACAAAAAACATCTGTTCTCTTTGCAGAGTTGCATTCACAAATAAATCTGATTGCACAATATAATTAATTTCTATATAACTGTGCAATAAAAGTACATATTGATGTTACATCTTTTACTATCTTTATTTACATCTCCATTATTTAATTTTTATTTAATAACTCTAAGTGTATTTTAAAAAAAATTATGATATTGTGACTTGTGGTTGGTGGTGGGTGCATACTTATTTTAGAGGAGCTTTTGAATACCGTCCTAAGATTTCGGGGATAAAATGGGTATGGGTGGATAGAGTAAGTTCGCCAGATCAAGACTATAGCCGCGAGAAACTAACATTTTTTGAGATATTTGCATTTTAAGTTAATCCAACAATTTAAAGTACGTATATTTTCGATTTATAATAAATTTTACACTTACATTTTTCACTTTTTTAACTACTACACTTCACTTAATTATTTTTACACATTTATTTCATATCCATTTTATCCCCAAAATACTAGGACGGATTTATGAAGTTTTCCTTTAATTTCAAACTAGATTACGCCAAACGAATGATGGGTGATGCTTTAATAAAATGTTTTCATATATAAGGTGGCAACACTTTTGTTGTCATTCAGGTAGAACAAACAAATTTTTGTGTGTTTTTGTTTACCTCTATAAATTATATTATGAATGGTATTACTAAAGCATTGAATAGATTTATACAATGTACTAAAGATACCAAAGGTATGGCAAAAACCGGTGAAGAAGTAAATAATATATTTGAGGAAATCGAGGAGCTTCTTAAAAACAGTGAGGTTGTATGTGAAATAACATAGTAAACTTGTAAAATTTAAAAATTTAATTTCCATAGGGCTTAGAAAAATCCACACGAGACACAATACCAGTACTAAAAGCACTCAATGAAAATGTTGAATCAATGAAAAATCTAAATAATAGAAACGAAGGTACCTACGATAATAGGCCACAAGTTGCTTATGAGGAACACGCTTCAAATTTTTTGCCAGCGTACTCTAATTATGATTATCTCGTATCCACGGACTCTCAGTCCTCGCCAGAAGAAGAACTTTCATTATACTCGGTGAATCAAAATGAACTACAACCTGTTAATGCACCATTCATGGTTCCCGGTATATATAAGAAAATCGCCAATGCATCGGGCGCTATAACTAAACTTCCACCACAAAATTATGCATTAAATGTGACGAATGTTCTAATGACGACAAAATGTCTCAAAGGGAAGATTATATCACGGGTTGATTTTGAAGGCGTCTCATCTACCGAAGAGTCTGCTGGGCCCAATTTAAAACCTGTTGAAGAAAGCAGCTTGTCTGAGGCGAAATACTCTAATAATAGTACACCTTCTAATAACCTTCTAACTTTTGCATTTAATATACACAAATCAGCAAAACCCGATTGTATCATAATTGATAGGTAATTAAATAGCACATTCAATCAAGAAGCTAATTAAATTTAGTTTTTATTAGGGATAAAAATGAAGTAAGGCGTGTCCGAGCAGGAAGCAATCATCAAATTTTGTACCGACTTCTAGGTCCCGAAGATATAAATCTACAAAATATTCAAACTTTGGCCCACCCTACATCTGCCAGGAGCAAAAGCTTTTCTTCAAAAGCCAAAATAGGTCGACCAAGAAAGCATTATTTAGTAAATGGGAATAATCAGCATACGGAAGGTACGTTTAAGAGACAGAAAATAGAGCCCATAACCAAAACACTGGAGACAAGTAAAACTGAGACCAATCGACAGCAGCCATTAACGCGTACACGGTCCGGTCGCATAGTTAAATTTTTATCGGCTCCATTGCACACTGATGATATTAACCAAGCCTCATATTTAGAAACTGATAATGTAAAAACAATAATTAACGAATCCAAAGATAAGGATTTTCAATGCAAAGAAAGGCCTCTTCTAACATCCAACGAAAAAGGCAATTTTACTGTAACAGTATTTGAAACAGGTGGTTTCACAAGCAATCGCAGGGTACCACCCGAAGCGATTTGCCCCAAATGTGGAAAAATATTTTTGGGTCGCCGCTTAAATCGTCATTTCACACAACATCCTGACCATATGTTAGCGAAAGTTGTTGAAAATACATTGGAGGAACAACAAGATGTACAAGTTGCCACAGACAATACTAACGAAGAAATTACCCTTTTCCGCTATCTTATTTCAAAATTGCAGAAACCTTTACTGAACGAAGATCAACGTGCTGATCTATTTCTAAATGAACTAAATGATTTAGTGGAGCAATTACAGTTGCGGAGTACCCGACTTATACGTAATACTTCAGGCTTGCATTTCGTTGGTGCCCGAACAGCACGATTGTTGGGTATACCGGAGGGTCAGTATGCGCTCGATATGTCTGCTATAGACAGTGAGGCTCCTTTTATAGATGCAGAGCATAACGGTTCGAACGGGGAAGACAGAAAGCGACATCAGGTCATACAGCCGGTTGTTACTGTAAGCACTCCCAGCTTAGACTACACAGCAATCAGTTTGGATGATACATTAACAGATGAAGCAGCTCAAAAATTAAATTTATCAGCTGGTGGAAAGTTGTTACCACCTTCTGAAGAAAGCCTTTTGCGTGCTGTAGGCGACTTAGTGCATGATGGTATAACGAAATTGGTAGATGCGAATCTACTGCATCCACCGCGATCAGTTGTACAATCAACTGTAACCTCAACTCTCGTGCAGCAATATGATCATGTGAGCGACAATGCTGTGGAAGCACTAACTATTAAAGAGGATAACGCGCCTCAGGAGGGCACCTCACTACTGGACTTGAAAGTTGACTTCTTTCAGTTCAAAAATAATAAAATATGAATTTATGAGTAGGCGAAAAAACTTAAAAAATAAAATATACTTTATTTACATAATCGTATAATGAAATTCTAGAAATGTTCCTTAACTAAGAGTTGAGAAAAAATTGTATTTAAAATAGTTTTCCAAATAAATAATGTTTAGTTATTTAATGTTTTATGCAATAAAATGGAAAAGGACCTACCGATGTGAGAAAAAGCCCAGCGCATATGTATCAAAGCAGTACATATAGTACACTTCATATTATTGTTCTAGTAGCGACTGTAATACATACTTCAACTTGTTGCTTTTGATATACAATACATACATATACATTTTTAACATCGATTAGCATTTACTACATAAAACAACATTCGTCTCATTCCCCTACGGAGGTCTTTAATGGGAAACGGAAATAAGTTACTTTCAAAATAATTCTTACAACCTAGCAGAAATTGATTGGTAGCAATTTCAGTGTTAAATAACGTGGAATACTTATTTACTTCGTAGAGTTCATAAACACGTTTGAAGAAGGCAAAAAATAAAAAGGCTTGACTATTTTTAAAAATGTATGTAAATACCTACATTGATTGATATAAAATTCCATAGATACCCAATGACGAATGAAAGTATATATGTCTGTACACTACCACACTTATGTATATTTTGTAAGGGAATGCTAGGTAGAGCTGCAAAACTATAGATTGTCGGACCACTCGATAGTTGACCAGTAATGTAATTTGAGATCAAAAAATGTATACTTAAAATGCGTTTCAAGCCAAAAAATAAAAGATGATTTGAAGCATTTTAAGCTTGACCGTTTGCATGTTTACTAGGTGGAGCAGTGTGAGTTCTAGCATGACCTCCAGTGCTGCCGTCGGGCATGTGCGCATTGCATCCGATGCGCAGGTGCAGGCAAGTCGTTGCAGTTTGGATAGCTGAGGTCCTACCGCAGTCGACGCTGCTTTAGAAGCCCAGGGCACCGATCTTATCGGTCTTATGATCATGGTGTGGGAGTGCCCTCGAATTTGTCCCCAGCTAAAATGACAATTTCCCAAAATAGAGGGTTGGCTAGCCTCTTCTTGTCCCGAGGCAAATACTAGTGTCTCCTATTGTGGTTTCTGCTATCCTAGTGCGCAGCCTATATTCATTTACTTAAAGGTGCTTCAACATTGCTTTTCTCTAGTGCTCTTGCCACGTTTCGTGAGACTTATTGCCAAAAGCATCTTAAATGTCTAGGAAGGCGCATATTATCACCTCTGCACTGTCCAGGGAACTGGTACAGAGTTTTATTTGTTGACCTACCTGCTGTATAGCCATGAAGTGCTAGAAAGATGCCTCCGCCCCCGGAGACTTGCATTTTGCGAAAGAAGTCATAGTCCACTTGATTGATTCAGCAGTAAAGAGATATCTTGTGACTATCCAATACAAACGAGATGGCTTTTGTTCGACCACAGGTTGACACTGGTTTTCTCGAATTGTCTCCAGGAAATGTGCAAGTAGAAGAGCCGTAGCTCGTTCTTCTGCGCTGAACGTATAGGTCCCATCAGATCTTTTAATAGCTAGTACTGTGTCAGTTTTGCCTCTAGCCAAAGCCTTATGCATCCTTACTGCCTCCGGTGTTGACACGTTTTCACAGAAGATCCTGAAACTTTGCTGTTTTGCAAACCTAATCTCCTTGTTGTAAACAGCTATGCTGAGAGTCTGCTAGAGCACCAAGGACAGCTACGCTTCTTAATGATCGTCTTTAGGGGACAGCTGCTTTGATATGCCTCCATAATGGGCTGGTTAAGCGCAGACAATCTGCTTTCCAGTCCAAAAGCCGTAGCACTTCTGTCTAGCTGCCTCTCCCTACTGACATTCATCCTAAGCGTTTCCTGAAAGGCAACCCAATTCGTGTTTCTAGGAATACGCCTTGGAGGGATGATGGTTGCGTGACCTCTACCCTTAGCGCGGATTATTCCTATGATTCCGTAATCTGACATGGAGGGTTCTGATGACACTCTCCACTATGTGATTAGATCTGTGATAAGTTTGTTACCCAAAGTGATGTCTAGCACCTCTCTTCTGATATGTACCTGCCTCGCATTGACAGTTGATGCTCACGGCATGTGGTGCAAGTTCACCTGGGCAAATTCCATATTGCCTTTATAGGATCGGTTCCAGGAGGAACTGGTTTTTTGTTATAAATCATCAATGTTGATTTGGGGATTTCAAAGAAACTTCTACTACTACTCACTAGGAACTGTTCGACTTCGATGATGATTCGATGATGCAGAATACAGAATCATGTCTGCCTTTTCAACAAGTATTGTATTATGTTATATTTATCGATTCAGTAAGTGTAGCTGATTTCATAAATAAGGCATTCATGGTTAACTTCGCTTTATTACGGGTTTCCCTGCGCCACTATCGAATTATAAATATATAAATTTGGCAGTTTTCTTTCGTCCAAAATAAATGTTTGACATTGTTTCAGACCAACTTTCAGTGAAATGAAACTGGACATTGAATTAACCATGAATTACTTAGTATGTTCTTTCAGCAGAATCATACATACCTATGTATATGCTTTTCGGATTTTTTATATAGATAGTTATTTATAAATCTGGCAGCTAAGGTGGAAATTTTATCAGATCCAGTATCATTTTGTATGGTGCTTAATCGGAACGTACTTAGAAGCACAATGAGCCTTATGATGGTTTAAGATTGGGCGCTTACGGATAGTTATTCATTCAGCCCCCCTTTAACCGGTCTAGCATTTAGGCTTTGCTAGATTTGTATATTTCAATTGCCAAAATAGTTCGGAAAGCGTGTAAAAGAGAGCTAATGCTGGATATGTTAGCATATTACGAATCCTTTTTATTTTAAAGTACTAGAGTTACCTCGGTGAAGTAATTTCATATAACTACTGACTTAAGCTATAATAAAGTGTTTAAACTACGATCTTAGTCATCTCATGTAATTGCATTTCAAAAATTTAACCATGGACAATGGCTTTGAAACCTTTCTTTCTTTTCGATTTACTGTGTGTTCTTATATAATATAATGGTTGCATCCTGAGCTATCAATTCTTTTCTTTCAAACCTATGATGATAAGTTAAATCGTGAACAGTTTTTATTTTTACATGATATATTAGATCTATAACTTGTAGACTCGATATTTGGATGTGCGCAACGGTATACAAATGTATAAAATGATAGATTTGGCGCTTTAGTACTATGTAACTACTTTGAAATAAAATTACGGCACACACATATGCAGAACAATAACACATTAATATAATTGACAATATTTCGCTATCAGACATTTGCAAATGCTAATATGAAATACCTCATTTACGATATTTCAAAAGGGAACGCACTTGTATTATTCTTGATACATACAGACATTGGTCAATGTATGTCCGCCCTGTGTGTCCAACTTGGCTAAGGATTACAGGTTTTTGATTAATTCTAAGAGTTAGTGAACGTTTAACCCTCACAATGGAGGGTTGTTTCAGGAATTTTGTTCGCCGTGTGAGCCCCAAAAAATGGGCAACCAAATCTACAGAAAGTGTGAAAAGGGCACAGAGGAAATGTGTGACGTTGCGGCGCGTTTTAGCCACGAACACGGATGAGTTTTGTAAAAATACAACTTTACATGGCTTGAAATATGTCAACAATCAGTCTTTGCATCCGGCCGAGCGGTTTGTACAGGGTTATAATATTTTAACATTGATCCCGTTATCCATCCCATTTTCATTTCATATTTTTTCTCGCGTAGTTCATTCTTCATTATATCGGTTATAGTTGTTTGCATTATATCGGCGTTCTACATATTGAAGGTGTACGAAAAATGGGCTACCACACCGGTTATTGTTGGTATAAATCCCGAACCGAACTTCGTTACAAATATACCTTTTCCAGCTGTTACCATTTGCAATTTGAACCAGGCATTGAAATCGAAGGCGATCGAAGCAAATAAGTAAGTAAAGAGAAAATTCAGAAAATATGGACAGTTAGAGAAATTATGGGTATGTTTAATACTAGTAGGGGGTATTAAAAAGGTTTTTATTAAACACTTCCCTTTCTGGAAGCTTCGTGGGGCTCTCTTTTTCAACAAGTTTAGCTGTATACATACAATTTTCTAAGGTCTTGAAAAAAGGGAATGAGATTGAAGATGGATTATATACATATGTCTCACAACAACTCAATTATAAATGTTTCAAAATGACTGCAACTATCGAGGCAAATCGATACACTTCACAGAGTCAAAAAAAGATGAATTCCTAAAAAATAAGGAAGCCACGCGTAGTTGATATTTAAGATATATGTATATATATATATATATATATATATACAATAGTTAGAAGACTATCAGATTATAAAAATTTTTTAGAGAGAGCGTTTTAGAAAGAGAGCATAATTATGATCCGTCGAGAACTCATTACTTTTGAAATAAAAAGGCTGAAGACCTAAACAGAATACTAATTAAACTTGCTTCGGAAAATACAAATTGAACTAGAGAGTTATGCAGTTAAATTGGAACTAGTATAAAGCTGCCATATTTCTGGGGAATTCTGACAATTGATAGCTCATGGAATATCAACAGATAAACAGTACTAGTTGCTTGTGCTTCTTGTTTATCCCCAGAAATCCTAAACGACGCGCTATGCTGAAGCTGCTGTGTAAAAATGAGTCTGACGAAGAACAATCTACCATTAACTCTAATTGGAATAATTTGGAAAATGTTATAGTGAATGTAAGCTACGTACTAACCAAGAAAGAGAGAAATCGAGATTACGACAGTTTCGTCTCAATATTTTTTTCAAGTGTATTTGACAGAAAAATTCAATGATAGGTGAATAATGATGAATCATGAATATAGTAATAAAACTTGTCGAAATCTTGTCTCTATCATTCTTGATAGAAACCACATATGTATGCATATTGCTTTCTGATATTTCAAACAATATCCGGACATATTTCACAAATGTGACCACAGATTTCGCAACCCTGTGAGGATATGATGGTGGCTTGTCGTTTTGCAGCCAATGAATACGACTGTTCTAAATACTTCATACCAATTATAACCGATGAGGGTTTGTGCTGTGTTTTCAATATGCTGCATCCGAAATTTATGTTTATATCACAGTAAGAATTAGGTATACATTTCTTCTGTTAGTTAATTTGGCATTTTTCACAGCATACCACTTAGCATGGGCAACATACCGGAACGTGACTATGAGCCTATTGATTGGTATGCTGAGCGGGGTTATCCCTCTGATTTACCAAATAAATATTATCCACGCCGTATAGCAGGTACTGGGGAGTCATTGGGCCTCTCCATCACGCTCGACGTGGAGGCTGACAAGTACTACTGCTCGTCGACAAATAGTGTGGGCTTCAAACTTTCTTTGCACAGTCCGAACGAGTCGCCCAACGTGCACGAGACTGGAGTGTTGATTGCGCCTGGCAAGGAGACTAAGGTTCGTGTACGCCCTGACAAGACTGAAACGACACAAAAGCTACGCTCAGTGGATACCAAATACAGACGTTGTCTGTTTCATGATGAACGAAAGCTACTTTACTTTGCACATTACACCCAGCGCAATTGTGAAATGGAATGCATTGCTAAAATGCTTTTACAACACTGTGGTTGCATAAGCTTCTATATGCCGAAGATCTACAAGAACTCGACGATCTGCAACATACGCTCCTTACACTGTGTGGAAATGGTGCGTTTGCGTAAAGATCCAACGATCGGTTCGTGTTTGGACGCTTGTTGGCCGAGTTGTTACGATTTGACTTTCCTTGTAGATGTTTTTGCTATACCGTTATGGAGTGATGAATTCTTTATTGAAAATAAGCGAGTGCAGCGGTACAACAAGACCTATGCGCGAAAGAATATTGCGGTAGTTAATATGTACTTTAAGGAGTACTCCTTTCGCAGCAGCATACAGACGGAATTCATAGGCACCACCGATTTCTTGTGTAAGAAGCAGTATCAGCCACATTTTGACTGCAATTTGTGTTATTTATTAATTTTATGCACTTTCAGCTGCAGTTGGTGGACTTATGGGTTTGTTTTTGGGGTTTAGCTTCATATCAATTGTCGAGTTGGTGTACTATGCCATCATACACCCCATACGTACTTTATTGCAGTTTGAGTGCTCAAAGAAGCAGGCTCTGTCGGAAAAGCTGATCCGATGCGACAAGACTACGGTGTGTCGTCAGTGGTCTTCAGTTCAACGTTACAAACGCTTACGAAAATACTTACGCTTACGTGCAACTTATGGCAAAGCTAATAAGCCAACCAAGCAAAGGACTGATTACAAACGCTTAAACAATAATGCTGTTAAATGTATAACGGAAACTTTGAAAAAAGAACAGGACATAAGGACCTAGAGCCGGGAGGTGGAACTCAACCTTTGTCATTGGATTGAAATATGCTTTTTTGACAGGCAGTCAATCGAAATGACCAATAATTTATTGAATATGCGATGACCATTACTTACTATTCAACTTCAGAACTAATGCTTACACATTCATTTATATAATTAACACCTAATGCACATAAATATCTATATATGTATGAGTATTACACTTAAGTCACTTTTAATAACGTCCACTTTGTGACTTCTTCTGTACGCAATATATGTTTTCTGATATTATTAACTTTTAAATGTATGAATTTACGAGTATATAAACAAATGCAGTTCAAATTTAATGGGACAGTGCCAAGTTGAAACTTCAACCACACATCAGTCTTTATTCAAGGTGCGAAGTTGGCAAAGGAGTTTCCTAAAGCGACGCACAAAATGGAGAAAAATCAAGGTTCGGTGAAAAGTAAATGGATCAGAATTAAGTTGGCTGTGGCAGAGTGTTGTAGAGACTATTGTGACAATACAACAATACATGGGCTAAAATATATAGCCAATAACAATCTTTTGCCACGTGAAAGGTAAGAAAACTGAGAACATAGAAGTAGATCAACATAAGCTTAGGTTAGGTTAAAAGGTCGATCGAAAAATATTTGTGTAATTCGAAGTAATTGCTGAACAGCGCTGGCGAAGCTTAGTCACACATTTGCTAGCGCTGCATAAACTCTTGTGGGACACTAAGCACTAAATTAAGAAAACAACATTTTTTTAACATTGAACGAATTTTAACGAAATCTATTTCAGAGAAATTTTTCAAATATATTGAATTAGAACATACATTTATTAATCTACAAGTAATTATGTAGCGAGAACTAAATATTTTAACGAAATTGAATATTAGAGAGCAAATATATATATATATATATATATTATATATACCTTTAAATATGTAATGCGAGATATAAAGGATCTTCTTTTCTACTTCTTACATTGTTTCAAATATCTGGATTAAAGTCCATACGATAGCTCTGATATCAAACGAAAACCGAACACTACTCGTTAGGAATTGAATTGGACCGCTAATACTTATCTCAACAGCTTATTTGTTAGCTTTTTCTTGCCAAATTGGTGCCATAGCTTCCCAAACCTTATTTTTTGATTTACACATTTTATTCTGTCACAAGTTGTTTATATGGGAAGTAGGCGTGGTTGTGATCCGATTTCGCACTGTAACATGGGAATATTTTAAAAATGTGGTTAAAATCGGTCGAGCAGGTCCCGATATGTGATTTCACCTAAAAGTGAGCGATCAAAATCAAACCGAATCCTATTAAGGGGTTACATGGGTTCCACGTCTTCAAAAAACAAAAAAATGTGTACTGTCTTATTTAATTCTATAACATCTTTAGAATATTGTCCTAAATTTGCGTTTTTTGTTCACTTTCACTTTATTTGTTTTTCTCCGTCCAATACCTAGTTAATGGTCTTTGTTCAAATACGTATTTTTATACTCTCGCAACATGTTGCTACAGAGTATAATAGTTTTGTTCACATAACGGTTATTCGTATCACCTAAAACTTAAAGTTAGATAATCTAAATTAAAAATCTGTAGATTATAAAAAAGAAAGTTTTTAGAGAAAAAAAAAAAACGAATATTTGTTTCGCTTAGTACTAAGAAAAATAGGTTATTAGACACTTTTTAGAAAGTCTCTCCAAGTATGAGCTCGTAATTGTAACGGTAAGGTCTTTCGCCTTCCAGTTTTCTATTTTTGTCTTAATATTAAATCCCAAGTCGAGTTCCTCGAAAAAATATCTCGTTTCATAGCTTTTGTAGGCAATTTGATGCTCTACAAAACAGGTCTATGACGACTTTTTTGTTAACCTAATCGTTTAAAAGATATTAACAGGTGAAGTGTGATTATTTGAAGGCAACATTTTTTTTCTTATAAATTTTATATTTCAATGAAAACAAATCATTTTAAATTGCAAAACTCATCGTTTTGTTTGAAATTTACTGCTTTACAAAAATGGTCTGTTAAAAGTATTCTATTCAGTTAAGCGTTTATGAGATATTCATCGTCTAATATCAAAAGAAAAAAAGAAAACAGAGAAACAACCAATTAGAGACCGTTTTTGTAGAGTAAATTTCGCACAAAACTATGGGTTTCGCAATCTAACATGATTTTTTTTTCAGTGAGTTTTAAAATTTATAAGAAAAAAATGTGGAAAACGGTTGGCCTCAAGGGCCATCCCTGCAACTTTCCTCTAATTTCATACGCTAACGTTCAAATTTCGCTTTTTTCACTGCTTTTGAGCTCTTTGAAAATTTTCGTTTTCGATATCTAGCAAGTAAATCAACCGATTTCGACCCGGTTTGCGGCAAACGATGTGTTTCTTCAAGGTTTAGAACTGATTAGTTTTTGGTGTCGATCGGTCAAGTCGTTTGGAAGAAATTCGAAAAAAACGATTTTTAAAAATTTTTATTTTTGAGATTTCTCAAAATGTACTGGTCCGATTGGGTCCAAACTCATACGAAATTCAAGTGCAATTAAACCTTTTGGAATGCCGTTTAGTTTATTCAAATCGGTTGAGCAGTTTAATAGTTATAAGAGGGTCACATATATCCACACACACACACATACATCCACACATACATACAGACATACGGACATCATCGTAGAAATGTTCGGGGAAGCTTCCTCGACCCTCAAAACTTCGAGATCTGTTGAGAACTCGATTTTTGCAAAATGGGGTGAAACCAATATCTTCCCGATTTTTGGAAAATTTTCAATTTTCTTAGCGGGAAGTTAAAAATTTGGCTTAAAATAATCAAATTCAACCGATAATATCTTTTAAACGGTTAGGTTAACGAAAAAATCGTATGTGACCTTTTTTGTAGAGCATTTAGTTTCCAACAAAAACTATGAAATGAGATATTTTTTCAAGCAGCTGAAAGCAAGATTTGAAGATCTGGTAATAAGAACAAAATAGAAAGCTGTAAGACGGAGCACGAGAAAAAATATTCTTTGTTTTTTTACTAACCCTAATATATATTCCTATCCTATCCGCAAAACAAATTTATGTATTTTTCTTTCAGAATATTTTTCGCAGTCTCATTTATATTTGTTGTTTTTGGAGCAATTTTCTTTGTGAATAAAGCATATGAAAAATGGAAATATACACCGGTTATTGTGAGCATTAATTCAAGGACCACTGGAATAACCACGGATCCGTTCCCCGCAGTAACTATTTGCAATTTAAACCAGGTTTATAAAAAGAAGGTTAAAAATTTTTCAATGTAAGTTGAAAATAAGTACATTTGCGTAAGTATATAAGGATGGGCAAAGAAACCGAATGTTTTTTTTCGCTTCGTGCTCTGAAAAATTGGTTGATAGACATCTCTAAGAAAGAATCTCCAAGTATAAGCTTATAATTGTAACAGGGAGGTCCTCCGCCTAACGGTTTTCTATCTTTTTCTAATTATAAGATAGGAAAATTCATATCTTGCTTCCAACTGCTTGAAAAAAATATCTTGTTTCATAGATTTTGTAGGAAATTGACTGCTCTATAAAATGGTTTTAAGGGTTTTTTCGTAGACCAAACCGTGTAAAAGATATTAACTGTTGAAGTTTGACTATTTTAAAGCAAACTTGTTTTTTTCTTTTGCATATAACTTATTGAAATAACATAATTTTAAAATGCAAAGTTCATAGTCTTGTAGAAAACTTACTGCTCTATAAAAATGAATGCTCCATATAGTCAATTTCCTACAAAGTCTATGAAACGAGAAATTCATTCAAGCAATTGGAAGCGATATATGAATGTTCCTATTTTATAATAAGAAAAAGATAGAAAACTGTTAAGCGGAAGATCTTACCATTACAATTAAGATCTCATACTTGCAGAGCCTTTCTTAGAGGTGTCTATCAACCAATTTTTCAGAGTACGAAGCGAAAAGAAACATCCGTTTTTTGGCACACCCTAAAGCATATATATATTATATTATGTAGATACTCGTGTATATACCATATATTGTATATTACATAAGAAGTATAATTTATTGCATAGATCGTCATGTGTTTATTAAGGTAACTCACTCATACTTTTTTAGTAACTCCCCGGAATATGTTAAGATGCAACTAATATGTAAACATAAAGTGAATGCAACTATTGCGAGCTCAATTCCCAATTGGAACTACTTAAAAAATTTTATAACAGAAGTATTGGCAAAACATTGAATCTTTTGACACTTGCTTTTATACTAAAGTAGTCGGATTGTATTGAAACCTCTTTGCTGTCCTAACATTGCTAAAATAAAGTTATTATGAAGTAATTAATCAAGAATTAAAGATCTAAATGCTTTACGGATTTGTGTTATACTATTTGAAAAAATGTGTTTTTGTTCCACAAAGCAAGGGCTATTCTAACAATCGAAATTGTTGATTATGAAAATGATTGCATAACTTTTCAAACTGAATTTCAAAATTTTCTATATAGCTAGAGACGGCTTACCACAGAACATTGTGCACTGAATGGTACTGAATTAAATTAAATTCAAAATATTTATAATTAAAAATTCAAATTTTAATCCTGCGGAATACACCGCCTATAACGTTTATGTATTTATTCATAAATAATAGTTTTACTCTATTGACAGCTTACTATAACATAATTTAATTACATCTTCCCAAGGCATGTTTGGGGTCTTGTAGTTTACCTATACTCGTAAAATATCCATTTCGAATAATTTGAGGAGTTACAAACATATAGTAGACTTTGTGTAAATTATTGAGATAGTATAAAAATTAACAAAGTTTTTAATAGAATGCTTTATATAATATTGTCTCCTTGTCACTTATGGTCTTCAATACCTTCATAGTTCCATTTATGCCAATCACAATGTTAATTTTAAGAGTTACATGATTTAAATCAGTAAATTTAAGATAGTATATGCATAGTTTAGTTAGGAGTTAATCTCTTGCTATTTGAAAAGTTTTCGTTCTTCCAAACCTAGGAATCAAGTAGACAGAAACTAGCCAATACAACTGGTTACTTTTTTTATAAAAGCAAGTGTAAATTGGTATACTTTTATTATTGATATTAATATTCTTACTAATCATACTTGTAATTTCCGTAGATCTCTCAACCGTGCAGTGATATGTTGCTCAGATGCTGGTTCGGCGGAGTAAAGTATAATTGCACAGATATTTTTCATCCAATCATAACTGACAGCGGCTTTTGCTGCGTCTTTAATATGGTTCATGCAGACTTCTTAGTCAAAAAGTTAAGTAATAAACATACATTTACACATATCTAAATTTCCTAAGATTTTTATTAACTCCATATTTGGTTTAGTCCGCAGCCGTGTCCAAATTGTGAGGACCACAAACCGAATGGCACTGTATACGTTGACTGGAGCCCTGAAAAAGGATATCCTTCAAATTTACCTAAAAACTATATCCCAACGCCTGCTGTTGGCACAGGTGAATCTTTGGGATTATCGGTAACTCTGGACGTTGAAGCAGATTACTATTATTGCTCTTCTGAGAACAGTGTCGGCTTCAAAATGCTGCTACATAATCCGCTTGAGGTGCCCGATATGCGTGAGATAGGTTTATTACTCTCACCCGGGCGAGAAACTAAAGTGCGAATTAAAACTGTTAAAACCGAATCGGAAAAGTATTTGCGTTCCATGGATACGAAAAATCGCGTATGTTATTTTGAGGATGAATATTCTTTAAAGAATTATAAGGTGTACACACAACGGAATTGTGAGGTAGAATGCTTAATGAACATGTTATTGACCTATTGTGGGTGTGTCACTCATTACGCACCCCTGTCTTTTGCTAACCAAACCGTATGCAGCATTTATGAGTTATCTTGCGTCAATCGTGTTCAGCAGCAATCCATGGTGACTAAGAATGGCAACGGTTGTCCGGAAATTTGTTTGCCCAGTTGCTATGATATCTCATACCTGCCGGACTTCTTTTACACACCATTAACACATGCACGATTCCAAATCTCGAACCAACTTATTAAGAATATGAGTGGTCCTTATGTGGAAAACAATATTGCCGTAGTAAATATTTATTTCAAAGAGAGTTGGTACCGAAGCAGTAAGCAGAGCGAATATATTGGAATAACGGATTTCTTATGTAATTTGAAAAATTTTAAGTCTTAAGTGTTTTTTACCAACAATTTATTTCTTTTGTTTTTGTATTTCACTTCGCAGCAAGTATTGGCGGGATTATTGGACTGTTTTTTGGCTTTAGTTTCATATCCGTGGCTGAATTCATATATTACTTGGTTTTAAAACCCGCTCGAATAATCATTGTCACAGCTTGGACGAAACGGAAAATGCCTAGATATAAGAAGACTTTAAAAAATTTGACATTGTTGGAAAAACTGTCAACGGATAAGTTGGGTTCAATTGAGCAAAGTAAAGTTTCATTAGGAAATTACGAAGCTAATAGAACTAAAAGTCGGCAGGATATTTTTCTAATATCAAGGAAAAACTGTTCGCCATATTCGAACAGCCTCTGGAGGCCTGGTATGGAATATACCCCTTGAAAGTATAACTAAAAATAATTTTGGGTATTTTAAAATAAATATTTGTAATTGACAAAATGTAATTAATATATAATACTAGCTGTACCCTGCACGCTTTGCTATGCCACCAACTGAAAAAAATTTGAAGGAGAGACATAACAAAAATATTCAATTAATTTTGAGTCATTTTATTGAATTTGTTCATTTGGAAAGATTGTGTGTGTTTCATTTCAATTCGATATTTATTGAAGTGCTGTGGGCAATATTTCTTGTTTTTCTATCTGTTGCCTCGATAACATTGTTTATTATTTTCTTGCAGTGGTCCGATTACGCCCATCTGCAATACCAACCGTCTTACGGTACCAAGAAACATGTCTACCAAGTTTCATAAAGATATCTCAATTTTTACTCAAGTTAGAGCTTGCACGGACGGACGGACGGACAGACAGTCACCCGGATTTCAACTCGTCTCTTCATTCTTATCATTTATATATATATAACCCTATATCTAACTCGATTAGTTTTAGGTGATACAAACAACCGTTAGGTGAACAAAACTATTATACTCTGTAACAACAGGTTGCGAGAGTATAAAAATAGTTCAATTCAGTTTTTGTTCAAAATTATTAAAATGGACATTAGTTTTGATTTATATTAAGATGACAAAAATGTTTGGGGCCAAAACTGATGAGCTGCGTGTAAGAAAAAGCCTTCGTGATCAGTCAAATTCATTTGAACTTCCTAACATCCAATATGGAAAAGTTTTACTGACAATTAAATAACTTTTAAAAAAGGTTTGTTGCAGATTCATAGGTTATTTTCGTTCAAAAAAGGAAGTCTTTTTTTCTAAATTAGATGCAGAAACATTACCACAAATTCTCCGTTTCCTTGCTGTCGGTAGTTATCAAGAACACATTTTAAATAATTTTCACTGAAATTATTATGAATTTTGAAGGTCTTTAACATTATGAACATCGGTTTTGTACATAGTGGATAAAACTCAAATGACTGAAGAGGAGCAAAACGTTTCAAAAATTTAATTATACTTAAATAGTATGTTCCTAGGAATAAAAGTTTGTACTGACTTTTATGTTCAAAACACTTTCCCCTTTTCCATTAATGTTATATTTACTGTTTCCAAATTGTAGCTTTCTAGTTTAAAATTATAAATAAAATATTTGTTTCCCCTTTTTCCGTTTTTTATTTATATTTTTCTACTAAATATATATAGTTCAACTGCATCGTCATGGTAGTAGTTGAAATTTTTTGATACTCTAGGCCATCCCACTAACACAGAGTTGAAAACCGTAATATCGGGAATACCGAATATCAAAACTTCAACCAAAATGCAGTTGGATTGAAAACTGTAGTAGGCCATAATTATTCAAAAATTATTATAATGAGTAGTACTTAAATATATTCGTGCCTTTAATTTGGAAAAATCAGACACAACTATTTCATTGTTAAGAGTTTGTGATATTTCATTTCCAATTGATAATGTTGCCCAGCTTGTCAGTCTTTCAAGAAGTATTAGCAACACACGTATTATCGTAAATAAATTTAGAATGATATCTTTTCATTCGTTTGAACAAATATCATTCAAAACGTCCAGTGGTGTATTTTTCAACTAATTTTTCTGCCAATAGCTTGTACTTCATTACATAAATTTGTTGCAACTATATCCGTCAATCCACCGTGTGTGGCCATTTAAAATTGTTTACAATATTCCAAAATGACTGTGTATGTAAACGTTTACAGCTAATTAATAGTAAATAAAAATTCAAAAGTTTTAGTAACTTGTTTGAACTGATCGTACCGATGGCGAAATATAAATTAAATGAAAGTTTTGTTTAGCATCACGAATTGGCTCATCTTCCCCCTCAGATTTGAACTGCCTTTTCTGGTGCCGTTTCTGATCGAAAGTACCATACATACATATTTATGTGATATTATATTTTGTGTGCAAATGAACGCATACAACACCTAATAGGTGCTCCTATTACAAAATATGTAGAATACTTATTTATAATTTGATATTAGAAAAGAGAAAATATAAAACTATGCTTAGTTACATGCTATAACTATGTATGTAGTATTACTAACTTCCCTTAGGTGCCAAGGAACACATGCACCAAGTTTTATCAATATATCTCAGTTGTTACTCAAGCTAAGTACGTATACATACATATATGTATAACTTTATATCTATTTCCATTACTTAGGGAAACATAACTGTTAAACTCTGCAGCAAATGTTGTGGAGTATTAGCCGATAATTGACCGTCATATACGATATCATAAAAACAATTCTTTAATGATTAGATTCGCAATTTGGGGACTTAAAAACATCAGAAAAAAACAGGGACCAAAAAAAATATATTTTTTTAGATTGTAAATCAGAGTAAATCATCAAAATGTAAACAAGAAATTCAAGAGGAATATATAAAAAAAGTTATTTGACATTATGGATTACAAAAACCGTTTATATGAAGCAGCACTCTTTCAAGAGAGAGCGTTTTCGGTAGACGTTTAGACAATTAAACAAAAATATATATAAAGTGCCATAGCTAAGCACTAAAAAAAGATATAAAAATGTATGCAAAAAATATTTGGCGCAGAAGATCACAGCAGCAAGAAGCATCTGTGGGCTAAAAAGGCTCTAAGAGGTTTAAAGTACATATCTCCTATACCATTTAATAACTAAATTCGCTAAAGACCTCTACCGACACTGTAAAAATGGGTGATCAACCCAGCCACTCCACATATAACGGTTCTGTTAACGGCTCTAAAAACTACTAAAAGCGCGATAAATCAATAAAGAAGTACACAGATATATTAAATTTACACCTAGAATGATGCAGAAGGACTCAGAATTGGAGGATGTACGTGACACCGCCCACATTTCGATGAAAACCCATGTCTCAGGACTTTTACGATCGATATCGACCAAATTTGGTATGTTATGTAACCTTGACATTCTTATATTTTAGTGCATCTTCCAACCATCTGATTCTTTCACTTTCCAGTATACAAATCAAGCACCTATGAGAACATTCGACTAAAACTTTGCACGAATAGTGCCTTTAAGGTGCGTGACCTTAACTTATAACCAAAAAGAGTTTCATTAAGGTACCTCTCATACCATCACCAACTTATGCGGGATCAACCGGATGTTTTAAAGTCCGTATATTTGTTATATGGCGGCTAGGGCAAGGTTTCACCCATTCATATTGACCGATATATGGTATAGCTGGAAGTTCGAAAATTTTTCTATCAGGTACATGAGGGCTATAGGAAGTATTGATTCGATTCAAATTATTTTTGGCACACGGCATATTATTATGGGGAAACGATTCACTCTGAGTTTCTGTAATATATCTCACATATTCATCGATATTTTTGATAAAAAGTTCGCAATAGGAACTGGCGTCCATATATTCGGTAGCTGGGGACTTGAACAGTTTTATTCCGATTTGGACACTATTCGTGCAAAGTTTTATCTCGATATATTCAATGGTGCTTAATTTGTATACTGGAAAGTGAAAGAATCAGATGGAATTTGAATTTGTGTTATATGAGTAGTAGGCGTGGTTGAATTTCGATTTCACTCAGTTTCGCACTCAAACAAAAAAATGTGAATGTAATATTACATACCAACTTGATATCGATCGAGTAGGTTCCGAGATATGGGTTTTTACCTAAAATGTTGTGCCACGTCCATCGTAAAATTTTGACAGCGGCTTCTACAAAACTTTCTCTTATGATCTCGGATGTTAAACTTAACGTCTCTGGCATTGATTTATCGCTTTTTAGAAGATTTTAACAAAACCCTTATATGGGGAATGGGCGGGGTTATCAACCGATTTCATCCATTTTTACTGTGTCGATAGAGATGCTTTGGGGATTATTTTGAGCGAATTTGGTTATAATAGCTTTAGTGAGTTATGAGATATGTACGGTAAACCTCTTAGAGGGCGAGGTCACTCCCATTTCTCCAACGTTTTACAGTTTTATATCTTATTTTAGTGCTTACAGGTCGGTTGAAAAGTTTCTGTGCTCGAAAGGAAAAAAGACTGTTTTTGGTACGAAATATATTTTTTTATTCAATATAATCTCCAAAAACTTCAATACAGTTATTTTAATGATCTTTCAATAATTTTATGGCAATGTGAATTTCCTAATACTCTGCAAAATACCCGTCTACGGCTGTAACAGCTTCTTCATTAGACGAAAAACGATTTCCACGAAGAAATTGTTTCAGGTTTCTGAAGAGGTAGTAGTCGCTAATAGCCAAATCTGGTGAATACGGTGGATGCTTCGTACTTTAATTCGTTGAATTTTGTCATTATCAAAACAACTTTGTTTTAATGAAAAATTGTGAAAAATGTCTTAATGAAAAATGATTTTTTGGTTCTGCACTTCAGGTCTTCTCACGAATTTTTCAGCCGATCCAATTAATATTCAGAGCTGATTGTTTTACCTTTCTGCAAACAATCAATCAACAAAATTCCCTTTGCATCCCAAAAAACTTATGCTATAACCTTCTTTGCTGATCGTTGTGACCTCGCCTTCTTTGGAGCTGATCAACCAGGTTCAGTCCATTGTAAACGTTCTTGCTTCAATTTAGGATCATGGTGGTAGATCTAAGTTTCATCTATAGTTGTTTAAAACTATGTCACAATGATATCACTCACCAACGACTTTTCTTATGTTACTTATCTTCTTATTTTATTAAACACACGTTTTTGAAATTTTCAATTTAAATTTAATTTTTATTTTTTTTTTTACTTTTTTTAAGTGCACACCTTTTTCCTAAGAACTAGATGGGTGCGATTTTAAAATCAACCGGTAGCGGAGATGGCGATGTTACGATGATGTAGCGAAAAAAAGATGCTTGTGGTCGCTCGTCGTCCCCTTTTTAACTCCTTCGGTGTGGTGTGTAGTGTATCTTCATGTGTGGGGTGATCGTGGTGGTAGGGTTGGTGTGGAATGCGTGTGGGATGATATGTTGAATTACTCATTTAACCATCCCGGCCCACCTAGGCAAATATTTAGCCTAGCAAATTCTGCAGTTGTTGCAACGTTGCTACAACACTGCTGAGGCCAGTGGG